AGCAAAAAATACAATACCTACTCAAAAATTTAAGTAAATATTTAACTTAAATTTTACAATTATAAGTTACTATTAAACAATTTTAACTCAAGTTATATGTAAAAATATTACTTATGGTAAAATATCACTTATGAGTAAAAAAAAAAAAAAAAAAAAAATTATACAAGAAATTATAAATTGAAAAATTCGTTAAGGGGGATATATTTAATTTTCTTGTTTGAAAAAAATTTCAGAATTGGCTTATAATGGGTAATTATATTAGCACCATAAAGTTTATTTATTACACCATAATTAAAATATATTTTTAATAAATACACCACAACAATTTTACAATTATATTTTTAATCCGAATATTACGTTGTATTCATCGTCCCAATATTACTTCTTATTTTTCTCATTACCCAAAAATTGAAGCCTATGCATGTAGTACTCGGCCAAAATAAGCGAAGTGATAGAGCTAATTTCATCAGTTAAAGAACAGTCGTAGAATGAATGCAGGCAAGTGCAAAATCTTAGTTTTCAGAAATACAAGTTGGGATTGAATAATCTTCCAAACCAGTTATACGAGGTGAACTGGGATATCATATTGATGGACAACTCATGTGGGTTCTGGCCTCAAGCGCTTGGTCGGATGGCTGCTATTTTCCTCGTCGACGTAATTGCTTGGCGCAAAAAGGTCGGAGCCAATCCCAACACATTTTCGTTCATGATTTCAATGTGAAGGCGGATAGAATCACAAGTGATGAATTTTGTGCATAGAAATTTTGGTGAATCTAAGGACATGCCTGGCATTTCACACTGGAAAGAATGGATAATAGCAGTAATTAGTTCTGTCGTAGCCATTTATCATAGTCTTCATCAACATAATAAACTCTCGGTGATCATCAAATAATCTTAGTCCTTGCTGAAATTTCATAAATTAATTGCCAATGGTCAAAATTTTGACCTTTTTTTTCTTGGTTAGGTTGTGTAAATATAATTTTGTGACACGTTTACATTGTAATTTCTTTGATGAAAAGCAATTGTTTGTCTTTCTATCTTTCCTTGGTCAATGTCTCCTTCTCCTTGAACACGTTTCATCTTCCACGAGCATCCAATTGCGTGGAGTTTGGGTAAAAAAAATGATACAGAAGAAAGAAAAAATTAGGTTTATGATTATGGTGGAATAATAAGTCATTTCATGGCATGACTATCAGTTTGTTTGGGAGTAATTTTGAGAATTGATTTTGTGATCGTTAAAAAAATGGTGGGGTCCACCTATAAAAAAAGAATTCAAATATGATGATTGAAATATTGAAATAACGGTCAAAAAATTAATTTTTTTAAAGAAAAAATCACCCCAAATAGGCTTTATATTAAAAATTACTTAATTAATGATAGTGATATCAATGAAAATTAAAAATTGTTTAAAGTTATAAAATAAATTTAAAAACATGGTTAATTAAGTAATTTTATTAGGGTCGTTTAAGTAAACAATAAAATTGTAGTATCACAAGTCAATTTTGTGGTGGTAATATAATTACCCGTAGATAATAAACTCCCAAACATAAATTGGATTGTTTTAAAAATCGCTAATAAAATAATTTAAAATCAGTTCGCCCGCTCAAAATTGGTACTTAAAAATGCCAATAAACGCTATCTTTAAACTCCCTGGAAAGACCTATTGGAATTAAAAGAATATCCAAAACGAAATTACCAAAGTAATATATATATATTTTTTTCTATTTCTAGAGAGGCTACCTATTTCTCGTCAAGACTGTGTTTTCTTTTAACTGAAAATCTCTACACGTTTATGTTATGAACTTATGAGGGGTGCGATCGACTGCCACGTGTAACAAGATCCGATGCTGATGTACTGTAGTAACACCATGCATGCGCACCACGAATACCAGAATCAAGCGGGAATTAGATGGCGTGTCCGTTTCTGATTGGCGGATATAACGTGCAACTTGCCTTCTCAGTTTTTAATCTTCGAAGATTGTGAAGGCGTATTGTGGCCCACCATCTCGGCCAAACATTTTTTTCAGGCACCACGTTGATTGATGCCGTTCAACTTGAAGCCGTCAATCTCAACCTCTTTTTTTCTTTTTGACTTTTTTTTTCATACTTTTTTTAGAGTTAATTTAATCGTCGAACATTGAACTATTAATAATATCTTAATCGGGTCTCTGAACTTTTAATTTATCTCAATTACATCTCTTAACTTCAATTTAATTTCAAATTTTTAATATTTTGTTACCATATATAACACATCTCTTCCCAAATTGACAAAAACTATGTTGTTACCCGATTGGCACTTCTGCCTCAATCTCATGATGGGCCAACTTGGTTGAATATTTTTAAGAAAATCTAATGACGAGACTTCATGTACAGAAAGAGGGATTACAGAACCTCTCCAAATAGGACACAAGGCGAGAGGAGGGGAGGGTTTGCACTATTTTATTCATATGAGGCTCACCTTATGTGAAATTTCTTTATTGTTTCTGTAAAATTCATTTCTGTACAAATGGATTTTCTAATTAAAAAATCAAACTTAAGATAATGTGTTAGCTGAGAAACAAGTCCAGTCGTCACTGACTCCTGAACCCATGGGCCTAGGTTCACTAGGCCGGAATTTGAGATCAACCTAGGTCAAGGCTTGTACAGAATGAGCCATGAGCACCTCAAGCTTGAATTTTGATGAGCTAACTTGCGAGCTTGGAAGTTGTCCGAACTTGTTGCCATCCCATACGTGCACCCTAGGAACAAAGATGATGAATTAAAGGTATCAAAATGTTGGAAAAAAAATATACGTATATAAATTATATTCAAATAACATTCATTTTACGTGCATAAATATCGAACAAAAATTCGACTTATCAAAATCTAATACGTAAAGTACAATGAGAGATGCATGAATATGAATTTTGGTCGAAGTAAGAGTTCAACTCTTTTTACTTAAGACGATGATGCCCCGCAAGACTAAATCTCTAATAGGAGCACTCCAAATTTCGTAGATCAACGAACTTATATTTTTTGAACCCTCTTTATATGAAAATTAACTTTGAATATATGCAGAATTTTGAAATGAATATACATTGATATGATAATACAATCATAAAGCGAATGAGTGAAAACAAACATGTGTGATCTATATATAGATGTTGAAAAATTTTGTTTCAAAAATCACAATCTATGGAAGAGACACAACTATTAAAATTAGTCTATATATTTGAATAGACTCATCATTTAAAAAATAATAATGTCATAATCTTTCATATAAAATACACATCTTTTAATTCAAATAATTTTATAAAATATTCCACAATATTTGACTTAATTTTCCAACAATTCGCAATATTTATGTGATTCAAATTTGACTTAATTTTTCATTCACAAAATAACAATTCTCACTTAAATGATTAGGAATTAGTCAAAACCAATTTCACATACAAATTTCCAACAATAATTACATTGTTTATATAATGATAAGTTGACATTTTACATTGAGATAATGTGAAAGATTTGTTGCATTATGAATCCTAATTTATAATTTATCAATTTTCATCTTTTTGAGTTGAGAACACGTGACGGAAGGTGAAATTTGAAATTAAGGTGGAGTTGATAGATCAAATTAGTGGCTCAATTAAAATTTTGCCAAAGGTTCATTTGATCGCAGATAAAATTTACAGGCTTGTAGGAATAAAATTATTATTTAGACTGTGATGGGAGGTAACAAAATAATAAGGGCATGTTTCATACAAGTCAATTCCATTGAAAATCGAAATCATTGATGGACAACATTTTTCATGGAATTTAATTTCCACCCTACCCCCCACGCGACCCATTTTCTTGGTTTTCAAGGAAATTGTTTTCCTTTGGTTGAGGTGGGAAAGTGTTTTCCATCTTTTTTTTATTTTATTTTTGGCAATGAAAATAAATTTTATCCACAATTGTAACAAATTAGATCCTTATAATTGATAATTTTTATGAAAAATAGAGTCAAATGAACACCTAAAGATACAAATTTCAACATTTTTCAAATTAAAAATTATATCTGATGCTACCAAAAAATGTCACCTGAAAGATCTCGAACTTGATTGTCCAACTTCACTTTGATGAATACGGTCGATTTGTGATTACCTGCAACAAAGGCAACGAGGTGTGTGCTCGTCGCCCCTCCGATACTTAAGTCGGATAGGAAATTTAGTGCGTGAGGCTATAAACTGAAGATAATGAAAACGTACCTTTGTGTTGAGCTTTGGCCAAGTATTTATAGGTGTTGGTGGGGGAGCTGTAGAAGGATTCTATTATTAAAAGAGTCCTTTCCCCCTTAGGATTAGGTGTTAGAGTGTGATTAGAAGTATTCTGTTAGAGTTTTAATCAGGGGAGGAGTAGACTTAGGTGGAGTCTAGTTTCTTTTGGAGATTAAGTGGGGGGGCAGCATCGGGAAAGAAATATCCCTGACCTGGGGTGTAAACCCCGACCTTAAATAGCCCAACTTACCAAGATCAACTCGGGGGTACTAGGTCGATGTCGACCATGGTACACGAGCTCAAGGATAGTTCGGGGTTACCAATCCCGGAATCATCAATATCAATCAAACATATTTAATTGACAACTCCTATAAAATAAGTTATAGACAATCAAATTTCTTGAAATTCGTTTTCTTTTCACTCAAATTCAATATTTACAATGAAATTAACCCTAATAAAAAGAAAAAGACGTTAACGGGGCGTTTAAAAGGGTAAAACAGCGTAAATAATTAAATTAACAAGGGCAAAGTCGAACCTCACAAGGAATATGTAATGTACGACGCTTCTACGAGTGAGTCTAAGAACACGTGCTTCAAATGAATAGCAGTCTCAATTTTAAAATTTGAAAATAAATAATATTAACTGCAGACTCCCACTACAAGTCTACAATTCTTAAATCCCCATATATTCCTCGTGCTCTTTTATCACCGAAAACGATAAGCCCATCAATTCACATCCATATAAATGAAAGAACTTACTCTTTACACCATTCAAATCATATAACAATTGATTTTTATCTTGAATTTTATATTTTGGTTCCTCGGTTCATCAGAATTCATGGATTCCAGTAGGTTTTCCGGCCATTATTTGGGAGGGATGGATGGTCTTGGTAACCTCAGCCTTGGGCTGACAACTCAGAATTTTGAACTCGAAGGTATATTTATTTTCTTGCCCTTTTTTGAGTAGTTCTATGAGTTCTTTTAAATTTATTTCCATTTTCTCGTGAAAATGAGAAAAATTCTGAGTTATTTTGGTTGAAATAGGGGCTCCGACCGGGACATTGAATTTATTGTCGACTATAGATAATTCGGGTGGTCCGACCCAACTTGTATCCGCTCTACCTCAGTATATTGGCGGTTACGGTTCCACCTTTAGCACAGAAAAAGCTCAGAATGGAACTGTTAATAGGTTTGTTCCTTCATTTCGACTGTTCTAATTCGGTTTTGGTTTCCTTGTAATTTGGCTAATTACGACTTATATGGAACAGATCTGAGGCAGAAACTGCGCAAATGGTTATATTCTATGCGGGTCAAGTACTCGTGTTCAATGATTTTCCGGTGGAAAAGGCAAATGAGATTATGATGGTAGCCACTGGACAGAAGCACCCCACCAACGCCGTTCCGCCGCCTTATATGGTGCCAAGTCCGGCTGAATCCACCACCAATAGCCCTGGGTTTGACCGCCTTCACTTCCATCATCAGCCACCCCTTGGTTCCGGTAAGCTATATTCAAATTTACCATATATTTATAATATAATTTTTTCTGGTATTTTTATTTTATATTTTTCCATGGATGTGTAGATTTACCAATGGCAAGGAAAAATTCGCTAGCCCGGTTCCTGGAGAAGAGAAAAAACCGGTAAGATTACACAAAAACTGATCCGGTTAATCCACAAAAAATACATGTACTTGATGACCTGACCAAAAGACCAATATACCGAGATTGGATTGCCTGACAATTGATTAAGGGCTAGTTTGGCATGAATTTTTTAAAAGTTGAAAGGAGTTTTTGAGATTAAAAATTACTTTGGATCATTTGACTAATCCTATAAGGTGCTGTTTCGAAGTGATTTTTCACCCCCAAAAAATTGATTTCTTAACCGTTATTTCATTACTCCTGCCGTAAAGTTTGATTCTTCTCTTACAAGTGACCTTCACTTTTCTCTTAATTGTTAAAAAAAATTAGTTCTCAAAATAATTCCCAAACGAGGCCTAAAAGTATTTTTTCAGTTAAAAAAACTTTTAGAGGAACTTGGTAATGCTTTCAAAATGGGAATCTCTTTTAAAAATTAATTTTTGAACAAAAATTTAAAATAGTTTCATCCAAAAGTTTTTTTTACTAGAAGTAAAAACAAAAGTCATGTCAAACGAGCTCAATCCGAAAAAACTAGAGATTTGACATAGAAAAATGCGTCTTTTTTTTTTCCTTTTTAAAACTTTGGTTACCTTTGTGATTGATTTTGTCAATTTTAAAGCAGGATCAATGCAGCAAAGTCGCCATATCAAGCAAGCAACCAGACGGCGGCGAAAGGCTCGGCTTGGCTGGGTTTGGGTCCTCGCTTTCCTTTCCAATAAAAAAAAATGAAAATTTTATTTGATTTTAGTAAAAATTGATAAAAGATTATGAGTCACATAGAATGTATAATTAAAAATAAATTTTAAGAAATAGGGATCGAAACTTGAAAATTTAATATTTTATTTACGTTTTATGAAATTATTGGTAAAAAGGTTGTGATTACACAAGTAAAATACAAGGTGCAGAACACATGGGTACCATTGACTACTCGTCATGGTTAATTACATAATATACACACGAACACAATATACAAGTCTCGATTTGCAAATTCATTATTTTTTTAACAATTAATATATTTCTGCTTTTTTATTTCTTGTTTTGTTCTTTTTAAAACAAAAATATTTTTATATTCTACAATTTTTGTCCAACACTTAACGGGGTAATGAAACATAAAAATGATTATAAGCTTTTTTCCTCTTGACATTTTGCTCTTTTATGAATGTGCATTAAAACGGTCCTTTTTGTAGGATAGGAAAATTGTCTTCCACAATGAACTTACCAAATACAGTTAAAGATTGAGGAGCTACTTCATTTCGTTTATATTGATAATATTAGATTTTAAATCGTCAAGCAAACATACAAGCCAGACTCTATAGCCTGAAAGACTGTTGTGGAAACCATACATGAGAGCCAAATTTTAGATGTCATTTCTTAGAATAAACCAAGTGGCAACATAGTAAAGTTCGGAGTTTTGGGAAAAAAAAAAAAGTATAATTGTGGTTATATATATATATATATATATATATGGTCAAACAAAGGCTTAGTTCGTTGAAGCAGCGGAATGGACCATGCTATGCCAAAATGTAAAGGCATGGACTTGGCACGGGTCACGTAGCAAGTCGGGCCTTGATGTCCCGTGAATAGGCCGACTTAACGTAAGAAATTGCTGGTCGTTCTAAAACTATGCCCAATCTAACTCTTTTCACATATAGTATTTAATGAGATTAATAGATTTTTCGAGTCTTGTTTAGCGTTGTTAAATTGGTGGACTTTGATAGATCTTGTTCCAATTGAATTTGCTGTGCAGTCTTTAGATAAGATTGAACAGTATCATGTACTTTTAGATAAAGTTATCTGATTGAGATAGTTCTGGGTCTTTAGATAGGATGGAATTGAATACTATTAATTGGCTATGCATAAGCTTAGACTTGAACGCTAATCGAAGATATTTTTTCAAAACGTGTCATTATTACTATTATTATTGTTGTTGTTGTTGTTGTTGTTGTTATTATTATTTTCACAATGAAGAGCATTAAAAACTAATAGAACAAACGCTATTTAAACATGTTGCATACGCGAGAAATTGAGTAGTGAAAATCAAAGAAGAAATGGATTTTAATTTTGGTAAGTAACAAATAAAATGGGAGGGGTTAAAGATCTTAGCAATTAAGAGTTGGTGTGGTAAGTTGTAGCCAGTGTCATTATTCCATTCTGCTAGTTGGATTGTGATGTGTACCTCTATTCGAATGCATGATAAACGTGACAAAACAAATTGTGAAAAATATCATCTAATCACTTTCTGGTTACTTCATTTTCTGGGGCTACTATTAGGGGTGACAATAATTCAATCCGAGCTAGCTCATAGACTAGTCATCCGTGCTTTGGCTTGTTGACCATAAGGGCCAAGCTCGACTTGGCCTATTAGTCCTGCCTATAATTGATTGAGTCAAATTGATCCTCGAGCTTTTCTACTCTTTTCGACGAAAATAACAAGATATTAAGGAAAATAGAGCAAGCTAGTAAGTTTACAAGCTCGGCTTGCTTGCCCAAGATCCAAACTTGTTTCCGTATTGGGTCGAGGTGGCATGAGTTGAGCCATCCATGAATTGAGTTGTCACTAGTTGACCCATTTAGCTGGCAGGTGATTTGAACTATTTTCACCTCTAATTATAGAGAAAGAATATGAGAAAAGAGGAATCTTTCGTTATGGTTTTATCGTAAAAATCAAATTGAAAATTGATTTTGATTTTGATTTTTTTCATGGTTTAGAAATACTTTACAATTAAAAAGGTTAATTGTTTAAAAAAAGATATGATATTTATTGCAACTCTATATTCAAAAATAGAGGCATCCCATAAGCTAAAAATGCATTATTTTGGATTTTTAAGTCATATAAATATTTTTTAAATAAAAATTAAGGTTTTCAAATAATTTATGCTTCACTATTATAATTAATGACAACACCATATTTGAATTTACACAAACCCACCCTTGTCATTGATCTAGCGAAAAAGCATGAGGCTTTTATTATTGTTAAATTATTGACTTTGATTAATGTTGCAATGAATTCAAACTTGAATAATTTTAAAATATTTCAAATATAAAAAAATAATTTAAGAAAGTTGTTGGCATTTACCACCAATTTTCTCTAGGATAAAACCTGGGCCTTGTACTACTAGGCGTGCCCCCATGGTCCAAAGTAGGGTCCATTTCTTTAATTTATGTCTAATCTTTTGAAAATGGTAGGCGTCGGTCACCTCATAAAAAAATAGAGTAATATTATTCAAACTCGTTAAGGCTTAAAATCTATCTCTGTGTCCGTTAAGTAATTAGACATCTTAAATATGATTCATATATATTTATTTAAGATGGCCGACTATTTGAAGACACGTAATCGACATCTAAATAATTAAAAAGCATTAGTGATATTGAATAAAGAATATGATTTTCAATCTTATAATAAACATTGTTTGTCATTGTATCTTAACACTCATTGACACATGAAATTTCTAAATAATTTTTTTTTTTCCAATTCAACATAAAATTCTAAACACGTGCTAAGTGACATTTTCATGATCAACACAAACTTACAAGTTATTTCAACCTCAGATAATCCTCTTATAGATACTAAATCTCATGTATATCTTCCACGATATTTTTGGCACCCCTCTTCCAAATTTAAACTTATAATTAAACATATTATTCTCACATCGAATTTTAAAATCTTCACATATTTCTCAAAAAATGAAGATGTAAATGCATGTTTGAGTATTACAAGCAGTGTTATTAAACCTGAATCAGGACTGGTCGGTTCGTTCGAAATCCGACGAACCGTTCTTTGGTCCGGTCCAAGTGACTCAATTGTTTCCATGTGCAATCAACCCATTATTAACCCGCCCGAACTGTCCGATTTTCGAAAACCCGTTGAACCAATTTTAAGTAAACCGGACGGTTCACATATTATAATATAAACTCAAATAACCCAAAAGATTTCCAATTTCCATCGTCTTCTACAGCTCTGCTAAACTAAAAAGTGAAAACCCTTCTACCATCTTCTACTGATCCTTTCTCATGAATCTAAATCTTCGTATTCAAGTTGGATTAAATGAAGAAGAACACGTAAGTCTGGAATTTAAGTTTTTTGTTGATGATTTTCAAATTTGCGCCATTGAGATATATGAAAATAAATAAGAGGACGTGATTCTAAAAGAAGTCAATCTTGGAACAAGTAAATAATAAAAGGGGTTAGTCTATGGGTACATAAGGGTTGGTACATAATGGTGTCCACACCCTCACATGAGGGGGGCCCACGTGAATATATTTATTCAGGTGGGCCCCTCTCATGTGAGGGTGTAGACACCATTATGTACCAGCCCTTATGTACCACAAGGGTTTTCCTAATAAAAGTTTACTTGACGTTGGATATTAAACCAAACACAAACCAGTCACTCTCTTTTTTGAAATGACCTCTTTTTCCATGCTTCCATATATGTTATAGTCATCAAAATTTTATGCTTTCTAATTCTCTTAACATTTTTTTTTAATTATTATAAATTCTTTTAGTTTTTACTAACTATTTCTTCCCCCACTTCCTCGGTTTCATTACAAGATGATTCTTTCATAGATGGGCGTTCTTTATACATGTAGATATATTCTCTTACTACTTATTCCAGAGTTTCTTTTGCCTCATTCAGTCCTTCATGTTTACGGACAATTTCTATACATTTTTGGAAATACAACAGAGCACAATATTTTCCATAAAAAATAAAAAAAAATGAAAAAGGGGGGTATCATGTTTATTTTACAATTTTCTCTAAAATTTTATCAAGGTCCCTATCAAAGGAAATTTTCTAAATTCAGTAACATAGCAACACATCATCGAGAAAACTCTCCATGTTTTTGGTCACATTCTATCAGTATTTTTTCAATTAGCAGCTAATTCATCACTGAATTATATCTTATTGACATATTTTCCATATATTATTTTTTTGAATGGTGGAAATTAATAATTTACATGTTTTACATTAATTGGGCGCATAAAAATAAATTAAAAGATATGTTCAAGTCCTGTACCACGTTGTTCCCCGTGTTGTCGTTTGGTATGAATAATTGCACATTTTTTATTGTGTTACATTATTTCTACGGTTGGCATCACATGCATTGTTTCTTCTTTGTGGGGGGTAAAGATCATTTTCATGTTAGCTGTATACAATGGAATTTTTCACCACAATTCTTGCAATAATTTACACATTTGAAATTGCATATAATAAATTAATAATAATAAAGTTTGTGATTGAGTGTTGCATAATTTGGGAAGATTTTATATTTTTATTTTATTTTATAGTATTTTGAAAGAACCAATAATATTCAGAGGCAGTCTAAACCCTTCTTTGACTTTCAGTATTTTAAAACTCTTTACTTTTCGTTCTTATCTTCAATCACAAATTCATGTAAATCCAAAATATTTCACTACTTTTTAATCACATATTTTTCAAAAAATAACTATTCAAAACATCATTTTTTCCCAATTTCATTTTATAATGACCATCAAACAAGATGTAAGAGACCCGTCGAAGAGAGCGAAGTACATCAAATCATTGTCCAATGAACATGCTACCACGGAAAAAATTGTTCAGGATACCAAATATTAAGAAGTCTCTGTCGAAAAGTGTCGAGTATCTCTGTAATAATCGATTAGTTAATATAGTTTTATCTTTCTCAACTATGAGAGAATGAATTGCAAAGAAGCAGTTGCTCATTTTATGCTCTAGAGACAACA